TGTACAATGGGGAATCATCTTTTACAGAGACTTGGATTCTCATGTCCACTCTCTAGATAACCCATTCCGGAATTAATGCACCAAAGTAACAATAGTCAGAGGAGATCTTGCAAGCGTAGGCTGAAGCAAATAGAATCAAATCATCCGTTTTCATATTTCTTTTATTATGAACATTTCAAATATATGCAAAAATAAAGAGTATACTATAATCGTGTATACACCCATCACACAGTTTCAACACCTGTCCAGCCTTGCTTTATCTAAACCTCTACCACCGACCACTAGTCACCAGACTATTTTAACCAAATCCAAGATATCACGTCACTTAAGCCACAAGCATTTCCGTACGTATCTCTGAAAAATAAGAATTTTTTCTAAAGCATAACCACAATACCTTTATCACAACTGAACGAAAATGAACAATTACTTAATATCATAAAATATACAGCCAGTGTTCAAATTTTCCTGACTATCTTTTTTCTAAGCTTGTTTGATCCATACATAAATAAGGATTAGAACTCTCGAGGAAAGGAAATAACATTCAATTGGTTAATATGTCTCTTAGGTTGTCGCTAGAGTTGTTGTTGTTGTTGTTGTTTTAATGATTTATAGAGTTTAATGGAGAGGCAATGTTCAGGCTAGCTTTAAAAGAGAACCCTAAGGAATTATTTAGGTTTATTTTAATCTATAGATTTGTCTATAGACTCCACTTCCAGATCTCTTATTTTCCCCCTTAGAGTTCTTTTAGTACAACTTTATTGAGATAGAATTCACATACTGTGCCACTGATCCTTTTAAATGTATAATTAAATGGGTTTTGGCATGCTTACAAAGTTGTGCAACCATCACAGCAATCAATTTTAGAACATTTTCATTACCTAAGAAAGAAACTCCTTACTCTTTAGCTACCAGTCCCCCAACATCCCCATCTAACCTGTCTCCTAGTCCTAAGTAATCACTAATCTATTTCTCTTTCTATACATTTGCCAGTTTTGTACATTTCATATACATGGAATCATATAAGATGCAGTCTTTTATGACTGGCTTCTTTCACTTAGCGTAATGTTTTGAAGATACATACGTGTTATAGCCTGTATCAGTACTTCATCTCTTTTTAAGGTTGAATAATATTTCATTGTATGGATATATTACAGTTTATTTAGGCATTCATCAGTTGATGTACATTTGGGATTTTTCCACCTTTTGGCCATTGTGCATGATGCTGCAATAAACTATCATGTAGAAGTTTTTGTGTAGATGTTTGTTTTTACTTCTCTTGGGTTTATAACTGGAAGTGGAATTACTGGATCTTATGGTATCTCTATGCTTAACTTTTTAAGACACTGTCAGACTGTTTTCCAAAGTGGCTGCAGCGTTTTTACAGTCCATCAGCAGTATATGAATGTTATGCTCCTCATTTCTTCCACATCCTCATCAACACTTGGTATTATCTAACTTTTTATAGCCATCCTAATAAGTGTGATGTGGCATCTCATTGTGGTTTTGATTTGCATTTCCCTTATAATTAGTGATGCTGAGCATCTTTTTATGTGCTTGTTGATCATTTGTACATCTGTGGAGAAAAGTCTTTTCAGATCCTTTGCTCATTTTTAAATTGAGTTATCTTTTTATCTTTGAGTTGTAAGATTTTTAAAAATATGTTCTAGGTAACTTCCTTATCACGTATATTATTTGTAAATATTTTCCCTTATTCTGTAAGTTGTCTTTTTACATTTCTGATAGTGTCCTTTGAAGCACAAACGTTTTGCATTTTCATGAAATCCTATTTTTTATTTTTTCTTTTGTTGCCCTTGCTTTTGGTGTCATATCTAAGAATTCATTGCCTAACTCAAGACCAGACTTACTACTGCTTTCTTCTAACAATTTTATAGTATAACCCATTTTTAGTTAATTTTGTATATGCTGTGAGGTGAGGGTCCAACTTCATTCTTCTGCATGTGGCTATCCTGTTACTCCAGCACACTTTGTTGAAAAAAGTCTATTCTTTCCCCATTAAATGGCCTTGGCAGCTTTATTGAAAATCAATTGACCATAGACACATGTGTTCATTTATGGATTCTCGATTCTATTCTACTGATCTACACGTTAGCGTTATGCCAGTACCACACTATTTTGGTAACTGTAGCTTTGTAGTAAGTTTTGAAATTGAAAAACCTGAGTCCTAAAACTTTGTTCTCTTGCAGGATTGTGTTGGCTATTCTGGGTTCCTTGAGTTTCCATAAGAATATTAGGATCAGCTTGGAAATTTCTACAAAGAAGCCAGCTGGGGTTCTGATAGGAATTGCGTTGAATCTGTAGATCAATTTGAAGAGTATTTCCACCTTATAAATATTGTCTTTCAATCCACAAACATGTGATATCTTTCCATTTATTTAGATCTTTTTTAATTTCTTTCAACAAAGTTTTGTGTTTTTAAGAGTGTTACTTTTGCACTTGTTTTTATTTTGCACTTCTTTTTTAAAATTTACTTCTAAATATTTCATTCTCTTTGATGTCATTGTAAATGCATTCTTTTGAACTTTTATTTTTGGATTCTCTCTTAAAATGTATTTGTTGAAGAAACCATGTTGTTTTTCTGCAGAGTTTCTCCCCCTCAACACACAGACACACACACACACCTGCACTCTAAACCTAAGTCTGGATGTTGTTGCTTACATCACTACAATGTTAACATATTTTTCCTTGTATTTTTCTAAAAATTCACAGTTATATCTAGGAGCTTGACAGGGTTCAAATTGCATTTTTTGACAAAAAATGCTTTCTATGTGCTGCTGTGTTTTTCCATCAACAGGCTTATGATATATGGTTAATACTCTTTTTGTAATGTTAGGAGACATTAATTATTATTACCTAGATCCACTAATTCATTAAAGGTTGTAATTTTATCATTCCTTCGTAATTTATTAGCTGGGAATCTTTTTAAAACACTTTCCTCGCCAACTCCTTCATTACACCAAGGAAGAATTTGTATTTAAAAAAGCAGGTTAAATGTTCGAGTCATTCTCTTTATTTACCAGTTTTAAAATATTGAGCTAGCTTTCTAGGTTTGGCCAAATTGAGCAATTATGTTTTTAAGTGTTTTTATGAATTTGTATATCTAAACATATTTGTTGTATTTCTTTTTTTTTTTTTTTTTTTTTTTTGAGACGGAGTCTCGCTCTGTCCCCCAGGCTGGAGTGCAGTGGCCGGATCTCAGCTCACTGCAAGCTCCGCCTCCCGGGTTCACGCCATTCTCCTGCCTCAGCCTCCCGAGTAGCTGGGGCTATAGGCGCCCGCCACCTCGCCCGGCTAGTTATTTTGTATTTTTTAGTAGAGACGGGGTTTCACCGTGTTAGCCAGGATAGTCTCGATCTCCTGATCCAGTGATCCGCCCATCTCGGCCTCCCAAAGTGCTGAGATTACAGCATATTTGTTATATTTCAATTCATTGTAGTTATTATCTTTACTGATGCTCAAATTGCCCCATGTTTGACTGATGACAGTCTCTTCAAGTCCTTTTGACTCAACTCTAATAGCGTTTTTAGCTTCCTTGCTATCTGGTGTGACAAGAGATTTTATGTTCATCTTGGACGTTTCTTGCCACGTATCTGAAGTCAGCCATTTATTTAAGTAATCCTGGGTCCTTTTATCAGGAAATAGCATTTAGAACCATCCTATGGGCACTACAGGTGAATTTGGGCACTGAGATGTTCATTGCTTCTAAGTATTTTTAGTGGACAGAGCTTAAAAATGTTTTTTAAATGACAAAACTGAGTTCATTCTGATGCCTTCCGTAATTGGATAATCTTAAGAGGTCTTTCCTTCAGGCTATGAAAAATCTGGCAAAGTATTCCTATTCCATAAGATTATCCCTGTGTCAAATGATTTTTTTAAAAAATATTGTATCACCCGAAACTGTGACTTGCTCTTGGACAATGATAGGTAAATAGTTGACAAATTCTTACTGTCTAATTTCCTTTTTACATACCTATTGCTGCCATAATTTCTGAATAAAACATTAGATGATCTCATGAGTATTGTAAAAATGAGGACAATAGGACAAAGTATTTGAAATCAGGACTATCTGGAAAATATAACCTGTATAGTTGCCACATAAATATTCTAGGCCAAAGATGACAAATACTTTGGCCTATGAACATGTTCAATATTAATGATTAGGACAGCAGTTGCTAAATTGGGTCCTGAGCTGTTCTAGTCCTGCTAATAGATGTTCCATAAACAAAAGAAACTCATGTTCACAAAAGTTTTGGAAATGTAGGGTTGAAAAACAACACAACAGATTTCTTTACTTCAGGACTCCAAGAGACATTAATGTTTTAATATGCAACGTGACTCTTCTGGAAGGGAAATAGTATGCAGTGTTTATACACTTATTTGAATGCTTCATAGAACCCTTTTGTACATAACAACTTGTGAATGCTGGATGAAGCTGTACTTTTAAATTAATCACATTACAATTATGTACTCCTGAAGCTCAGGTCAATCTATTTCAAACTGATCAGGATGAGACTTTGGGAGATCTTGTTCATTGAATGTTGAAGAGCGTGTGTGTGTGTGTGTGTGTGTGTGTGAGAGAGAGAGAGAGAGAGAGACTCTGAAGGTAACTCTATCTCTGGTATCCAAACGCAATCTTGGTTTGGCCTTCTATCTACTGACTACACTATAATTCTATTTTGTGTGTGTGTGTATAACTGTGTTATAAAAATAGAATTTTTTATTATGTGTGGAGGACGCTATTTGACAGGTCTCAATGATTGACCATTGGGAATATCTGAGAGCCACAAAACCATCCACAGCTGTTACTTTGAATCTTTGTGCTGTCCATTTTGTACTGATCCCTCACAACTAGTGTTAGTCATGTTGCTTCCATTCTAGGCAGACAATAGTAGTTGCTTTTTAAGTGGCCTCTAGAGACTCTTTTAATATAGGATTTCTGTGTAGGAATCTTTGGTCTAACAAAGGATTTTTCTCACCCTTAGGTGTTCCAACATTCACTAAACGTGTGGTGCTTTCAGCGGTTGTGAGATCCTGACTACAGAACGAGGTAGCTTGGAAACTAAAAGATCCTTAAAACTTGCCAGTAGGTTTGGGGGTTTCTCAGAGATTATTAAACTGTTGGAAAATGGCATCTATGAGAAAATGAAAAAGTAGTCTAGATTGTTACACCTAAAGACGAGTTACTCTAATATGAAGGATTGTTATTTAAAGCATTTCACAAAACTATTTATTGAGGTGCAAAAAGAAAACATTGGAACATCAATATATTTATTTTTGTCATTCTTTTAAATTTTCTGTGCTGGAGTATTTTAATGTTTATTCATTAAAATGTATGTTTAAAGTAATGTGTAATGTATACATGTACGGTAGTACATGTATATAATATATAAATCCATATACATATATTGGGGCCCATGCTCAATAGTTTTTTAATAGACTAAAATGTATGCGGAAAAATTGATTTAGAGGATTGTGTGAATCTCTTCTTCATCAGGAGAGTGTTTTAGAGTGTATGTTAGGAAATGGGATTGGTTTAAATAGGAGCACGCGAGATTCAGTTACATCCATTTATTTTATTTAAATATAACCATTATTAGTGATACAGCATTCATTCATATTCAGCAAATATTTTCTGAGCATGTCCTATGCAGCAAGCATTGCCCTAGGCTCTGTGCATACGGTGGTGAACATAAACGTTGTCCTTGACCTCATAGTCCTTCCCCACTATAGTTTAGTAGGGATGACAGCCATCAACCAAATAATCATACACTTAAATGTACCACCAAAAATAGGTAAGTGTTATGAAGGAAAAACACAGCAAGTTACAGGAGGCTACAAGAGTATAAACTGGGGCATCATCTCTATTCTGGGATTATCGAGAAAGGTTATCCTGAGAAGTGACATTTAAGCTGGGGCCTGCGGAGATTGATCACAGGATTGCCTTGTCAAGAGATAGAGGAAAAGTGGCCTAGATGGAAGTAGCGGGTATGTGTGAGGGCCTGCAGGGGTCATGAGATGAGTGAGGGCCTGTGCCACAAGGGCACAGGGTTTCAGACAATAGGGAAGCTTCAGAGATGGATCTGCCTGACAGAGAGGTGGAGTGCAGGCTAAATGACCTCAGAAGCTTTGTCCTTCTTCAATTCCAGGGGGGAAAAAAAATCACAAACTAGTTGGAGGTACCAGAGGGCTACAGAAAACAACAAGAAGAGACTAGCTGGTCGGCTAGGCACAATTAAAACATCGAATTCTGCCCCAGCAGCAATTCCGGGAACTTCAAGTAATGCTCCTTGTGTGGCCCTCTAGAACCCTACCTGGTAAGAGTAAAGGGCAGTGTGTCCTCTATGTCTGCGCTACAGATGTAGACATTTTTTTTTAATGGCCTGAGAATTTCATGAGCAGTAGCCAGCTAGAGGGCCTAGCAATGTGTTGTGATCATGTGTTTTCCTGAGTTATTTGAAACAAGAGGGTGTATGTACTACCCTCTTGGCAAAATTAAAGGATTTTGAGCTAAGATAAATGAGGTAGATCAGAGGGTAATTGCAGGAAGTGGGGCAGTGGCTACCCCTGCTTGAGGGCTTAGGCCCCAGGCTGCAGAGGAGCTAAGTGGGAGAGCAATATTTGACGGTCTGTTGCCACTGCGCCTACTAATCGGCTAGGGGAGGAGAAGGAGGACAAGGGAGACCAGGGTTGGACGATGAGCATGAAAGAAGAGTGGGCGAGCCAGGGAGCGCTTGCCACATGGAGGGCGGGAGGCAGCTACACTGGGTCCCCAGCGCCAAGAAAGGGGCACGAGGAGGCGGCGCGGGCCCCGCCCCCTCCCCCTGGCGGGCGCGGGCGCGGGCGCGAGACGCTGCGCGGCGGCAGCAGCGGGCGCGAGCTGCAGCTGTCAGGCCACCGAGGTCCAAGCCGCACTTGCTGCCCCATTGAGAACGAGGAGGCAGCAGGAGCAGTGACGGTGACACTAAGAAGCCGGACTCCCGGCACGCAGAGCTGACCTACCTGGCACCCGCGGCCCTCTACTGTTTCCTTCCCATTGTGTTGGGTAAGGTGCCTGTGCGTGGGCAGGAACAGGGGCTAGGGGCTGGAGGACCCGGAAGGCCGGGAGGTGGGGGGCCTGTGAGAAGAGGGAGAAAGGAAAGTGTAGTTGATCCCGATGACCACTCATAGCTTGGGAAAAGGGACTGAGCCGCTCCCGAGGTCGGAGTTGGGGGCAGGTGACAGTGCAGGGGGGCGTTGCTGAGTAATCCCGAGCTGCTGCCAGAGCCGGGCAGAGAGGCGCAGGGCTCCGTGGGGAGCGGGTGTGGCTCAGTGCGCATGCGCCACAGCCGACTCTCTCTAAGAGCTGGGGGTGAGGTGAGAGGACCTGGGTCGGAGGTAGTTGGGACTATGTGTGACATCTCACTTTCTAGGTCCGTCATGCTAACAGTGCCCCTGTCGTAGAGATGCCAGCATTCTCGTCTCCTAAGGAAGCTTCTTTTCCTTGTGTTCAGCTCGCTTGATGTCATCCAAACCTTATCTACCTATTTGTCCCTGGGCAGTCTACTGGGGAAGACGTGGCCTGGGGACGATGCTAAATTGCTATCTAGTGTGCTTTTGGGCTTATAGCCCTAGAGCTGTCGTTGTGAGGAGTGAAAGGTTAGACGTGAAATTCCACATTGGACCCTTTGAGTTGCATATAGAATATAAATGTGGGCATGAATGTAGGAATAGCGTTTCAGTGGCATGACAGCTGTGGCATTTGGAGTCGGCATGGATGTAGCTGATAACTTGTCAGTTCTGCAAAATGAATCCAGTGCGTCAGAGGGCTTCCCCGCTACGAAGCACCCACCACCACCACCAACGCCAAGTATTGGGTTGTATTGGAAACACACTCAAACATTCGATCATTTCTCATCCGTGTTGAATTTTACATAAAGATAGCCGCGCCCAATTCTTCAGTGCAGTATCTCCAATTATTGTGCCAGCATTCAACAGTGAGTTGAGTAATCCTTACCAGTGTGTCGCCACAAGATGGGCTTTCCCCACAGGTCCAACCATAGCTCCTCCCCTGTACAGACTTCCAACAGTGCCACTCTCATCCAGTGCCTAGCCCTCCCCAGTTGCTATTCCCTTACCGAGTCCTGCAGTACACATGCCTTTCAAGACTTGCCTCCGAGCAATCTGTACTACTGATTTTGAGCATCATTCCACTCTATGGCAACTGAACTGATGCCAGTTTGCTTTTCTGCCTCTCTTCTCTCCATTATCGTACTAAAATGTACTATTTTCAAAGGTTCAACTTCTTTTTCTTCATTGTACTGCCTCCTCCCCCACCTCCACCCCCACCTCTAAGCATTCCCAACTAAATACAATAATTTAAATAAGGCTTTGTGGATGCAGGCACTGCAGATTCAGAAGGTTTCAAGTGTGTTAAAGAACAAAGAGCTGGGGAGTATTGGTTACAGAAATTCCTAATTCACCTTTCTGTCCAAGACTGAGACCCTGATGGGAAAAAAAAAAAAAGTCAATAAACTATCCTTAGAGCATGCTCATTAATGAGTTTGTGGGGGTAGGAAAGGGCAATTGCATCTCTCTAATATTTGACTCAGTTAGAGCCAGATCTTTCTCTGAATGGGATCAAAATCAGAATAAGCATTTTGGTCCAAATGCTTGCCCGATAGAGGACCCAAAAGGGATGCATAAGGCATTTGACTTTCCTATTTACATATTTAGTGTTATCAAAGAATTCATTTGCCTGCTTAATGCTACCTTGTTTAAAGGTTTGGATTAAATCTGGCATATTCTGGGCGAGGAAAAAATGATTTCATTTACTTTTATACTGTGCTAGTTCTTTTTAATTTAAGTACGTACTAAAGGACATCACATTCATTTTCAAACAATGATGAATGATTGTGGAGATGCCAGTGCCCACCGACAACATCAAGTGGAGATCATTATTCTGCTCTTGTTTTTGGTAGGAATGGGGAAATGTATATGCTTATTTTTAAATGTAAGAGTAAGGGGAGGAAAACTCGAGCATTTCCCTTGACTTTCAACAGGTGGAATTCCCATTACGTCCCATCCAGAAAATGATCGAGTCAAGTTCATAACTTCTGTTCTTTAGTCACCTTATAAATGATAGTATTTGGACATCTTACAGAACTATGGATCTATTGTACCTTGGTATCAATTCAGAGGCATTAATTCTGGGCACCTACCTAATCAGTTAATTGGTAAACAAATATTTATTATCTCCGTGGAGGATCCTGGTGCTGCACACTGAAGGGGCTTCAAAGATGTAAACAAACAGTGAGCTTACTATCCAGGAATTTAAAATTGATCATGTAAGAAAGACAGGAACAGTTTGTTAACAAAATAAGGCAGTATAATGATATTATTTCAACTGTAAACAATGAGATCCTGAGCTTGCATGTTAATTTGTAAACTCCCTGAGGGCAAGACCTTGCCTTAAATATTTATTAATTCCCAAAGGTATCTACGCCCAGTGGATGTTTGAGTGATGAAGCTTTGCAAAGTAGATTGGGTGGGAAGAAACCAGAAGCAGGGAGAGAACTTTCACAATAGATTAGATGTGAGAAGGTGTGGACCAAAATGAGGATGGTAGCACAGGACTAGAAAAATGATACTTCAAGGGAAAATCAGCAGGATTGAATGAAGCCAAGGAGACAAATCTAAACTGTATTCATTTTTCCTTCTAGCAAATAAATGGGAATTGGAGACAGTAGAGGAGAGTGGAGGGTTTCCTTAGTAAGGACACAACACACAATAGGCACTATAGTGTTTTCTCAAATATCAGTAGCAAGATTGGACCAGAAGACCCTGAAGGTCCTTTCAATGCTGAGACTCTGTGCCATATGCGGATGTTCAAGCTTGTTGAGAAACAAGGCATTCTCAAATATGGAAGAAAGAGAAAAGGAAGAATTCTTATACTTTCACTAGCAGGCCCTTTCTGAGAAGGGTTAATACAGAGCCATAAGGCCCGCACCAGTGCATGAAAGGATGTGGAGGAGCCAGAGGAATAAAAATCTCAAACCAAATTTTTCAAAACATGCTTACAAATTTTTGCAAACTTCATAACTTTTCATTCTCCCCCAAATCCTGTTAAGTAGGGCAGGTATTATCTGCTCCATTTTTATGTAAGAAGATACTGAAACAGAAAGATTAAATGACCTGCCCAAGTTCATAAAATAAATGAATGCTGTAACAGTGAGGAAGACCCTGGCGTCCTGATTGCTGCCAGCTAGCTCAGTGCTCTTGACACTGAACCACATTGCTTTTCCTCTTTTTTCCTTGGCATAGAGCCTATAGGCCCAGAAGTTATGTGTGCACATAACCAAATAGGGAATGCACAAGCAACTGCAGCATTATCTCAGACAGTTATTAATACATCATCATTATTCCTGGAGCTGAGCATTTGGTTTCCATATTCACTCAGTCCTTGACCTGTCTATTGAGTTTATCTGCAACTGAGAGAATAGGGTCAGTGAGTCTTTTAATGATGTGAACACCTGTTTGCTAGGAACTTAAGGAAGCTCATGTGGCATGGATGCTTAATGCCATCAGAATCATGCCCAAGTTTGTACTTCTGTTACTTTTTAAAATGAGAGTTCAAGAGTTCTGCTCTGTAAAATTATCCTACAGACCGGTATAAAAAAATAAAAAGTGTGCTAACACTTGTTTCATCTCCTTTTAAAGAAATGTTTGTTACTTGAGCTAATTCCAAAGACAGCAATTTGGGAGCAGGAAAAAGAGAACAACAATCAGGAATTGTAGGAAACTTGAGAATTCTGTAGAGTGTATATAAACCAAGAAGGAGTATAAAGCCTATCCATTTAGGAGATATTATTTAAATTCATAATTACTGATTTAGATATCTAATGAATCCTTATTATAAGTTTTATCTGTATTTAGAAAATAACATGAGATTATTAAGCAGCAGTTTCTTTTGTTTTTTAAAGCTTCGTTCTTCCTCAGTAAGAAATAACACTACACAGATCTAGGCACTGTTTTTCTTCTTAGACTAGTACTCTTGATGCTGCTTAAATAAGACTCTTGCCATAATGTTATAATACTAAATGAATGTATATTTAAATTCGGTAACACTAGCTAAATATTAAAACTGGTGTTTAAGACAGATGACCTACCGGGTGCAGCGGCTCACGCCTGTGATCCCAGCACTTTGGGAACATGAGGCTGGCAGATCATTTGAGCCCAGAATTTTGAGAACAACCTGGGAAACATGGTGAAACTCCATCTCTACAAAAAATACAAAACTTAGCCAGGCATGGTGGTGCGCGCCCGTAGTCCCAGCTACTCGGAAGGCTGAGGTGGGAAGATGACTTGAGCCCAGGAGGTCAAGGCTACAGTGAGCCATGATTGTACCACTGCACTCCAGCCTGGGCGACAGAATGAGACCCTGTCTCAAATTTTAAAAAATAATAAATAAAAGAGAAATGACCTAAACTAATTAATAAAATAATTAGCCAAGATAATATACTTTATTGTAAACAGGAAGCCCACAAACACAACTTTTTTCTGCTCTCTAATTATGTGGAATCAATTGCAGAGACAACCTTGAGACAGACTGGTGAGTGCACTAACAACTTTCTTGGAGATGGGAACGTTGGTAGGTATAAAGGGAAGAAGTTTCATCTCTGACTTAGGATTTAAACATATCTTAGATTGCTCTGTACTTTCCTTTTCCTGAATGCCATCTATTGTGAATATCGTATACTTTCTTTAATTTGCTTTTACTTTGAATGGAGAATTCAATTGAGAGACAATATAAAAAGTAAAAAAATTATATAAATTACAAATTAGGACAAGTTAAAGTTCTTGGAATAAAATTATTTTGCTTATGTTAAGCCTAGGTAGTATTTTGAACTTTTATTTTTGAAAAACACCCTCTATAGGTTACCTCAGGTTGCTGTGGGTTCTTTTTTCTGACTTGAATATATTTTTATATATAGACTTAACATTATTTTATTATAGATTTTTTAAAATAATGTTTTCTATTCTGTTTTATAGCACCCTAAAAAGAAAGAATAAAACAACAACAGGAAAAAAAGGAAAATATTTAAATTGTGACAAAAACCCACTGGGTAGGTATTTCAAGGGGGCACACTGTGGATTTGGGATATTTTAATATTTGATCTCTTAAAAATGAATATTAGAAAAATATATAGTTAGTACACAGGCATTCCAAAATCATTTTAAGGGAAACTAAATTTTGTAAAATTATATTCAAATATGTGTGCTTCCAGAAACTGTTTTGCATGCACTCCTTTGATTGGTGGTTCGTTTTCATCCCTTTGGGTCTATTGTATAAATATCATCCAATTAACTTCATCACTGTTGAGTTCCCACAATAGGCCTAGTGTGAAAGTACCTAACAGAATATAGGAAAAGGTAGTATTCATTCAGTAAGCATTTGATCTTTTTATTTTAAGATACATTGTAGGTATTCCATATGTAGACATGTTGTGGAGGTAACAAGTAGGTTACTGTATAAACATTAGCACTTTAAATTTTACAGTATGTTTTCAAGTGTTGCTATTATAGAATTAAAACCTAAATCCAAAAACTAATAAGCTATTCAAGATTTCCTTCCTTCATGACAGCTGTTATGTTGATATCAGTCAGTTATCATCAACTTAAATGCCATTGTTCCATGAAGAAAAAAATTACTTGAGAGGGTGTTCCTATCAATGCAAGTATAATGGGGTAAATGCCTGAAGAAATGAAACCTTGTTCTCTCTTTCAAATTCTGGGGTCCAGTCTAATTCTGGCCCAGACCTCTACCAACAGAATCAAGAATCCAGTTTATGTAGCTTTCTCTTCTCAGTAATTCTTGTATCCATCAGGAGCAGACTTCAAACCCCAAGTCAATTTCATCCTATTTGCCTATTGTTTGGAACTGTCCAAATCGGAAGCTAAAGTTGTCACACATTTGAGTGGCATTCCTGTTCTAGGCTTCCTCTCCTAGAATAGGGTCAGAACTGAACCAAATTACAGGACCATCTGCTAGTCCACTTACCCATGGCACTCACCCATTTTCCTGGCATGACAAAAGACCTCAGAAAAACAAGACCTATTTTTCCCCTTATGCAAAATTAGTTTTATTTCTTCTGCTGTACTACATCAATTAATGAGCATAAATCAAGAGAAGTTGAATGAGAAGGCCTCATAATTCAGAGAAATTTGCTATGAAGTTGATTTCAGTTTCAGGTTTAACTGTTTCCCTCCTACTTTTCCTTTTATTTTCAGGTTCTCTTGGTTACAAACTCCTTCCCTTCTGGTGCTGCAAAAATGAGTGGGAAATCCCTGCTCTTAAAGGTCATTCTCTTGGGTGATGGTGGAGTTGGGAAAAGTTCGCTTATGAACCGTTATGTAACCAACAAATTTGACTCCCAGGCTTTTCACACCATAGGGGTAGAGTTCTTAAATCGAGATCTGGAGGTAGATGGACGCTTTGTAACCCTCCAGATCTGGGACACTGCAGGGCAGGAACGTTTCAAGAGCCTTAGGACACCCTTCTACAGGGGAGCAGACTGCTGCCTCTTGACCTTCAGCGTGGATGATCGGCAGAGCTTCGAGAATCTTGGTAACTGGCAAAAAGAATTTATTTACTATGCAGATGTGAAGGACCCTGAGCATTTCCCCTTTGTAGTTCTGGGTAACAAGGTAGACAAAGAGGATAGGCAAGTGACTACTGAGGAGGCGCAAGCCTGGTGCATGGAGAATGGGGATTACCCTTATTTAGAAACTAGTGCCAAAGATGATACTAATGTGACAGTGGCCTTTGAAGAAGCTGTCAGGCAAGTGTTGGCTGTAGAGGAACAGCTGGAGCATTGCATGTTGGGTCACACCATTGACTTGAACAGTGGCTCCAAAGCAGGGTCTTCGTGCTGTTAAAGATAGGGAGCCTTTTAAAAATGTGCCCCAAATTGGTCAGTCAGTAGTGTAAGAATAACTGTGCCCCTCTAAGAGTGCGCGCGCACACACACACACACACACACACACAAGAGGGTAAGAGACAAGGTTCTGATTGTGAAACAGAGCCTTTCAAATTGAAGTGTAGATCTATAAAAAAGAAAAGAAAAGAAAGAAAAAAAAAGCTCTATCAAGCCAAGTGTATTTTGTGTAATTTCTGCTATTTCCCCTTCATGTGTGTCTCAGGACATATCAGAAAGTTTTAGTCCTGAGACAGTTAAATATTTTTTAAATCACAGTTTAGACCTAGAACCCAGCTGCATGAAGGAGTTAAAGAGCTACAACTATTTCTTAAAGTGTTCCATTAATCAACTAACAAATGTCACTATCAGACTCTTGCCAAGCAGTTTCTGACATTTCTGCCAAAGGGGAAAAAATCAGACTTTGAGCTGTATTACAATAAAAATAATAATGCAAATAAGGATTCCTAGGCTTGAACTATAAAGAAGTTGTAATGATTAGGAGTGCAAAAGTATAATGATATACACTGACTTGTTTAAATCCTTATGTATGGTTTGCTCCCATCTGAGCTTTTCAAAAAATACCATCTCAGTAAGAGATACTCTAATGACCCTGGCAATTGATCATACTTCTTGTGTTTGAAGTCATAGGATACTAGTGAATGGATTATGCTTAAATATGCCAACCACCTTTGCAAATAAATGGTTGGTCTGCTTTTCCTTCGTAAGTCTACTTTTGCTGCATAGAGATGTTGCTTCTCTGACAACCTCTTACCAATTTAGCAATGCTGCTTAGTATATGAAATTGGATGCAGTGCTCTCTGCTCATAATTTAGATAGTCCTTCGATCCAACATGCTGGGCTCATGGAGAAGGCTTCAGAAAAGATTGGGGGATAATGAACTTTTCTCACAGGGCTCCTTAACTCAAATATTTATTGTAGAAGAAGGAACTGGTTTCTTATATGTTGCACTGTATGTTAAACTAGCCTAATTAGGACATTGAAAGTGACAGAAGAGCAGATTTTAACCCAGTGTTAGAATGAATTTCCCATAATCAGAGTTGTCCAACGGTGGAATGGACTGCCTTAATAATGAGCTCCCTGCCTCTGAAAATATTCACTGGATGACCATCTGTTAGAATACCATAAAAAGATTTTCTGTACTGGCTACATGTTCAGTATAAAGTCCTTTCTGGCTCTAAGTTCTATGAATCTATAAATTACATCAGTGCCATGCTGTGGTTAGATTTATCTGATGATAACAGCTAAGACTATGGAGAGGGACTTTTAAAATTCTCAAACCATTCTGTGATCAATCTTTAACAGCAACTACATAGCTCTTCCTTTTGCTTTTGCACTGTGGCAGGAAAAATTCTTGAGCTCTGAGTAATCTTTATGTGCACTGATAAAAAACATCTTAAAGCTCCCATGTTAAATATAAAAATGGTTTGACAGTTTTTGATTACCATGACTGCCAGTTATATACTGTATTATGAATATGCAGTGTGGTTCTTGTTGGTTGATCTGTTTATCCTGCATAGATTTTAATCTGTACTTTAAAACATCTATGATAAAAAATAGTGACAGACAGAAATTACCCCAAAAAGAGACCTAGGCCAGGAAGGGGGTGGGAGCTTTCATAGGAATACAGCCTAGAACTCTCCATTGTAGCCACATATGGAATCAGCCTTACTTACATGTAGGACCTTTGTGCTTTAAGAGCTCTGGGACATATTGGCAAAATAAAAGAGGACAGTATTTCAACCCAGTCATACTCAATATTTCCAATTAAGATATAATCCTTACCCCATTGTTCAATTAACTTTGATGCCAGAAGTCAAAGCCAGAACTGGGGCCCCACAGCTCTTAAGTACTGGTCCCTACCCTGCCTATGCCTATAGCCAGCCACACTGGTTTCCAAGTTCTATGATCATTTTGCTACAATCATGTTAGGGTGAAAATCTGTACGTCAGAACTGTTAAATGCTAATTATTTTCAAGTGCATGAGACCTGGGGCCTTCTCTTTCTACTTGCACTCTGCTTATACTAGTTTCTATTTGTAGATCTCAGGTCTTCATCATAAAGACCTCCATCAACTCACAAAAGTACTTGTCTCTGTTAGAGTGGCATGTGGTCATTTGAGTTAAAAAAAAAAAATTACCTGGGTGTCAGATTCATAGGCATCCTGTCCATCTAAGACAAGTGTTAATCTTATTGATCCATCAGCTGGAGCCCCTTTCCTCTTAGCCATACCATTGTTTTCTGCCAAACTACCACTCAATATCTTAATGAAAGCATTCAACATTAAGTGACATAAACAGTGGCATTTGGGTAAGCAACACTCAGTGGGGTGCTGACATATAGTTTGGGTAAGATTAAAAAACACCAAAGGCTGAAATCTGTGAGTACCAAGAACTGTGCATATAGGTTTAGAAATTGACTGTGTACCCTAGAATGTGCAGTGTAATATTTTCAGTAGGTGTTTTTTTAAGAACACTAGATTTTTGGAATAATATATTTCTAATTAGGACTATACTTCTTTTCAATGGTCTGTTAAAACATCATACAGAATATTTATTTAGTTTATTGTCATGTATTGGCTAACTTTCAGGGGCCTCAGATTCTGTATGTCTTCAGTGGATTGATGAATATCAGGTTAATTTGTGCCTGCCCCAGCCATCTCTACTTTATTCTGAGGTATTCCACAATCCTCTTGTTGCAGGTGCTGCTAAAAAAGAATCTCAAAATTGTGTACCAATATTTTCTTTCGACTGTAAAAAATCATCTGTGTTAAAGTGAATAAAAAGTGCATTTTGAATAATCAACACACAATGTTTGTGCTTCTTCCCTCCCTTTGTCTTTTTGAGCAATGGGTGGGTGTGGTGGACAGTACTTATTAATCAAGTCACTCTTTCAGGCTGCACTGGATGTGGCCTCTGGATCATGTTTCATGTGGTACTCCAAGCAGCCACTACCTAGTGATCAGATACTGCTATACTGATTGTGAAGCAAACTCTAAAGATTGGGGCAGGGAGGTCCTTTTTATTTTATACCACTTTCTTTCTATTTATTTAGTTATTAGAGGCAGGGTCTCTCCATTTCTCAGGCTGGAGTGCAGTGACACAATCATGGCTCATAGCATCCTCAAACTCATGGGCTCAACCACTTTCTAATGCATGATATATATTGGGACTGGAAATTGAATCTTAACTTTCCACTTTATTTCTTTATTATAATTTAAAACCATTACTTAATGGATACAATGTAAACTATTCTGGTGATGGGTACACTAAAAGCCCAGATTTCAATCTGCAATATATCCATGTAACAAAACTGCACTTGTGCCCCCTAAATTTATACAAATAAAAGGAAAAAAATTATAATAAACAATGTTACGTAAAAAAAAAAAAAATGTTAAACCATCGCAAAATATAAACAGAGTAGACATATTCCCTTTATTTTCCTGACTGGTGAATTGTCCAGACCTTAGGAAAACATGAAAATATAGGTGAAACAAATAAGAAAAGCAAAGAATAATTTTGTTAAATATTCTGTTCTCTTGCCTCTCACATACTGGATTTTAAAGATATATTAGCACCCAATCACTTGAATATACATAATGGCAGTTTTTAAATTGGACACAAGTCTTTCCACAGCATATATAGTTTCATTACATTGGTTCCATCTGCCACAGATTTCACTCTCTTCTCTTCTCTGTCTACTTTTGCCTGTTGCAACTTTGGGCAGTCGAAATTGGGGGTGGGGAATTTGTTGAGAAACAGATTTTTTTTCCCACATGTACCATTTCCATCTCTGAGGATTATAATTTAACACATTATCAGACCATGCTTCAAATGCAGCACCCCAAATCATTTTGACTAGTCTATAATGATGCAACTTTTAGAATATAGAAAGTCATAGATTTATAAGCCACTTAATAAGGATTTGCTCATTCATAACTGACTCTTTTTTTTTTTTTTTTTTTTTTTTTTGAGATGGGGTCTCTCTCTGTCACCCAGGCTGGAGTGCAGTGGCCTGATCTCAGCTCACTGCAACCTCGGCCTCCCGGGCTCAAGCAAGTCTCATGCTTCAGTCTCCCTAATAGCTGGGATTACAGGCGCCCACCACCACACCTGGCTAATTTTTGTGTTTGTTGTAGAGACAGGGTTTCACCATGTTGGCCAGGCTGGTCTCAAACTCCTGGCCTCAGGTGATCCACCCACCTGGCCCTCCAAAGTGCTGGGATGACAGGTGTGAGCCAATGCGCCGGGGCCAATAACTGATATTTTAAAAACAGAATACTAACTTCCTGTCCTTGCTGTTTTTCTGCCTGATTCATAACCCAGTGGGAAATCTCCTCATGATGTCTTAAGAAACAGTATGGTCTCATTTTTTGGAAATGGTTTGGCGATAGTCCTTCCAGAAAGAGGAAGGTGTGGAATACATAATTTGTCTTCCATCTTGTAACTGTATTTTTAAAACACACTGGAAAATTGAGGTATCGATTCGAGTAATTTCAAGCTGGGAGGTGGGATTTCTGGTTCACAGATGGCATCTTCTAGCTGTGTGGAAGGGGGAAGGGGTTTCTCTTGGGCCTCTTTTATAAGGACACTAATCCCATTCATGAGGGATTCACCCTTGTGACCTAATCACCTTCCAAAGGCCCCATCTCCTTATAATACCATAATATTGGGGGTTAGGATTTCAACCTATGAATTTTGGGGGGGGGGACACAAACATTCAGACCATAGCATACACCTTTTGATAAAACTATAATGTGCATGATTTGGGATATTCACTAATGTTTTATTTTTCCAAACTGGTCACTTTAATTTCCTCAAGTTTCCATCACCAAAAGAACTCTCATTCTTTACTACTTTCTCTTTAAGAGAAGGAAGGGATAATGACAAAAGCTACGCATGTTTACGAAATAAAAGAAAAATTATTAAATGCTTGCAAAATAATATGATATGCTTGCAAAAACTGGTGAGCAAGGATCTCTTATTCTGCTAGTGATGGTAGTGGTAATAATGTGTGAAAGGGTTTTTTTTTTAAGGGGGCAAGAAGTTACTTAATATTTTCCCAGTGAAAACAAGCATCTTCACAGCTCAAGATGTGGTGTCGTCACCTGTAGCCATATAGGAACTGCTGCAGTGATCTTTGTGTCTTCATAAATCTCTTTGCCTTCTCCAAGGAAACACAGAGAATGATGATTCAGTTATATATAAAAGCCTTTTTAAACAGTGGGTTTTGTGTGTACAATTATGTGTATTTTTAAGTAATCTGCCAGTTCCTTTCGTGCTCTATGAACTATGGGTAAATGTGTAATGGGTCTCACTATAGCGCTCCTGAATTTTAATCAGACCTGCCAAGCTGTGCCGCCTCTAGTTAATTGATTGATAAAAAGAATTGGGAAATGCTGCCTTAATGAAAGAAATAGCTCTTAGTTCAACGTTAGCTATATTGATTAGAGTAAAAATACAAATCATGCCTTCCTGTGGTGCATTCATGAGGAAGCAAGAAACAGGCTCATATCATCTCTTTTCTCTTACATTGTTCCTGGCTGCCTTAGAAACGACATATCCAAGGGTGTGTCCTGTAATTTGCTGTTTGCATAATATTGTATTGAAGGGTTTACCACAATTACCCATATTGCTAAACATTTAATAGAGCATTTATTGCTAGACATTTAGGTTGTTTTACAGCTGCCTTCTTTTCATAAAATAAAGCAGCAGTGAAGTTCCTTAATATCAATCTTAATTCTCACCTCTGTTTATTTCCTACTAGTAAAATTTCTAGGTCAAAGAGTATGAATTTTTTATTAATTTTAATGTATACTGGCAAATTGGCCTCTAGAAACTTATCCCAAATGACATCAACACCAGTAGAATAAGAGGAGGACTATCTTTCCAACACCCAAACGTATGGACTATTATCTTCCTTTTTAACTCCGTATGTGCAGTCCAATGGGTGAAAACATGATCTCATGTTGTCATTTACATTTATTTAATTCTTTGAGAGTAATTGTTTATATATTTATAGGCCATTTTTATTTTTCCTTGAGTGAATGGACCTTATGGGGGTTGGGGAACATTCATTTTTGTTTCTTATTGATTCCAAGGAAATCCTTTTTTATATTGTGGGTATTAACCTTTGATCTTATCCACATTGCTGGTTTTCTGCAATGCCCTCCCATAGCTCTTGCCTTTTAATTTTGTTTATCGTATTTTAAAAATATACTGCCATATTATAGAAAAGGTTATGTTCTGACAAATTAGAAAACTATGGTGGTTTGGGGAAAGAGAAGTGCTTATTTGATTTGTCCTTTGTTTCTGATTATACTTGAGACTGCTTTTGTTTAGAAAGGTTATGAATCTAAGCTTCGGTCACCATGATACAAGAATTGCTAAAAATAAAAAATAAAAAATATTCATTCATCCAGGTGCTTTAATTGCATGATGTTGAATGACTGGTTTGAATTGAGTTTATTGCTGTAATAAACAGGTTATTCTGAAGCCTTGTGTTAAATATAAATGCAGAGATAAAAACAGTTCCACTTTCAACCACAAGGGGGCAATAAAGACCGGTTAGTGTTCTGCCATAGACTATATATATATAAAACTTTATATATATACTTTATAAATATAAACTTTATTTATGTATTTATTTATTTATAGTATATATTTATATATCTATAGTACATATTATATATTTATATATGTAGTATATATGTATTATATATGTATATATATACTTTAAGTTCTGGGTTACATGTGCAGAACATGCAGTTTTGTAACATAGGTATACACGTGCCACGGTGATTTGTTGCACCCATTATCCCATCACCTACATTAGGTATTTCTCCTAATGTTATCCCTCCCCTAGCCCCCCACCCCCCACAGGCCCCAGTGTGTGATGCTCCCCTCCCTGTGTCCATGTGTTCTTATGGTTGAACTCCCACTTATGAGTGAGAACATGCAGAGTTTGGTTTTCTGATCTTGTGAAAGTTTGCTGAGAATGATAGTTTCCAGCTTCATTCATGTCCTGCCAGAGGTCACGAACTCATCCCTTTTTATGGCTGCATAGTATTCCGTGGTGTATATGTGCCATGTCTTCTTAATCCAGTCTATCATTGATGGACATTTGGGTTGGTTCCAAGTCTTTTCTATTGTGAATAGTGTCTCAATAAACATACGTGTACATGTGTCTTTATAGTGTAATGATTTATAATCCTTTGGGTATATGTCCAATAATAGAATTGCTAGGTCAAAAGATATTTCTAGTTCTAGATCCTTGAGGAATCGCCACACTGTCTTCCACAATGGTTGAACTAATGTACACTCCCACCAACAGTGTAAAAGCATTCCTATTTTTCTACAACCTTTCCAGCATCTGTTGTTTCCCAACTTTTTAATGATCGCCATTCTAACTGGCTTGAGAAGGTATCTCATTGTGGTTTTGATTTGCATTTCTCTAATGACCAGTGATGATGAGCATTTTTTATATGTATGTTGGCTGAATAAATGTCTTCTTTTGAGAAGTGTCTGTTCATATCCTTTGCCCATTTTTTGATGGGATTGTTGGCTTTTTTCTTGTAAATTTGCTTAAGTTCTTTGTAGATTCTAGGTATTAGCTCTTTGTCAGATGGATAGATTGCAAAAATTTTCTCCCATTCTGTAAGTTGCCTGTTCACTCTGATGATAGTTTCTTTTGCTGTGCAGAAGCTCTTTAGTTTAATTAGATCCCATTTGTCAGTTTTGGCTTTTGTTGTCATTGCTTTTGGTGTTTTAGACTTGAAGTCTTTGCCCATGCCTATGCCCTCAATGGTATTG